GTCCACTCCAGTTTCCTTCCCTTACCAGTTGTGCCAATATTTGGCGCACAGGCTTCCCAACTGGCCTCCCTGCCCCAGGCTCCCCAATCTGGTTCTTTCTGCATTGAGGGGAGAGAGAAGAACCTTCCTGCTTTGGCCAGAGGGTGACTTCCCCTCACTGTGAGGCCCCCAGGGAGGGTAATGTGCAGCTATGGGCACTTAGGTATGTCCCTGGGTGGTGTGCTGGAGGGGATGTGGTAAATCAGGGTCATTGTAGATGTAGTTAGTGAAAAAGAAATCCTGGAGGAGGGTGGGCTTCTAATTCGATATGACCAGTGTTCTTATGAGAAGAAATGAGAGAAACACAGAGAGGAAAGATGGCTATATTGATGACAGAGACAGAGATTGGAGTGCGGCACCTATAAGTCAGGGAATGCCAAGGATTGCTGGCAGCTACTGGAAGCTGCAAGAGACAAGAAAGGATCTTTTTGGGCGGTTATTCTTTTTTATGGCTAAGTAATATTCCATTGTGTAAATTTAGCATAACTTCTTTCTTTTGGTTTTTTTAACACCTTTATTGCGGTATGGTTCCTGGACAGTAAACTACACATACAAAGGATCCTTCTTTATAGGTTTCAGAGGGAGCAGGGTCCTGCAGATGAAGCCATGGCTTTGGACTCTGGCCTCCAGAACTATGAGAAAATGCACTTTTGATGTTTTAAGATACTTGGTACTTGGTTACAGCAGCTCCAGGGATCTGATGCAGTACCCTCATCCTTTCCTCTCCTCACAGACTGATTCAAGGTGCTGGGTTCTGTGAATCTCTCTGGAGATGTCCAGCATGACCAAACCAACCACTAAGCTGCTTTTGCAAAGCTGTGACCAGCTTTGTACCATACAGCTTTCTCTCTCCTTCCTTGTGGAGGGCAGCCTCTAGGATGGCCCTCAGTGATGCTCCTCTCCTGGTATTCATGCCCTTGATGATCCCTCCCCTCTGAGTATGAGACCCAATGACTCTTTTCCAATGAACACAGTACAACAACAATGATGGGATACTCAGATGGCCAACAGGCACTTGAAAAGCTGCTCAATACCACTAATTATTAGAGAAATGCAAATCAAAACCACAATGAGGTATTACTTCACACCAGTCAGAATGGCCATCACTAAGAAGTCTACAAATAATAAATGCTGGAGAGGGTGTGGAGAATAGGGAACCCT